ATAGTTTTATAATGCCTTATTGTCTTTATCGAAGCATTACTTTATTTTGGTTGATCGCTTAATTTAGTATAAACCCTCTTAGGCCTAAAATTCTACACATAGCTTTCAAGGAAAATATAATATTTTAAAAATAACTTTTTGTGCAGTATATTGAAGTATTAAGTTTATTATGAGTTTATTTATATTTAGTTAGCTTGGATAATCTATATGAATATTCCAATTTTTGTTACCCGAAGATATCTGGTATGTCTACCCGGGTATGTTTACCCGGATAGCTGAGTTTACAACCTGGATATCCGATTATCTGCAGATAACCCGGTAATATTCAACCCGGGTATCATCATTACTCTTGTCACATTATATGTGTGGAGGATTTCTATTTGTTGTTATATTACAACTGTTTTCCTGGGGCACCTGTAAAAAATTAACCGAATGATCCGATTAATTTATTTTTCGGCAATAAACATTGATACGCCTGTACGTACGACGCACGTACGTACCAATTTTTATTGAATATATTATGCCGAAATAATAAATTAGCCGGATCAGCAGAAAATCATTCACCTAATTTTTTACAGGTGTCCCAAGAATTATGAAAACAGTTGTAAAAGATAAAAATTTTGGATTCCCGCTCTGCTGACCGGCCGGGTTATGAGAACTGATTATATAAGCTTATGTGGCCTTATATAGAAGTATGTTTATTATTTAAGTTACTAATGGGATATGTCTACAGTTTTGGAGCATTTCTCTAGAAAATTTCGAGCAATTCTAGTCCTTCAATTCAATAATATTTTCTTTTTTTTCTTTTTTTTTGGCTTTGTATCCTGAGAAAAACTTAAATTACCTGTAGACGATAAATATTAAATTTTAAAAATAATGTTAAGGGATAACGATCTTACTAACTGCCAAATACAAAACTAATCTTCAATTTTGACATTATTCTAATAAACACTAGCTCACAACAGTGAAATTCCCTCAGCTAACAAGTATTACAATGACATGGCGATATGGAGGTAATACTATGGTATAGAAATATGACATTACTAGTAATACGGTAATATGTTTTATAACTTTACAGCTTTTCCCAATTTTATTATAAAATATACTATAGTGGGTAATTCAGTAATTAATTGTTGATAGTATTCTGGGTAGAACTTCATGTTTAAAATGCATTATTGATTCTATCAATCTCATTGGTGAAAAAAGTGTACTTGGTAAGATATTACTGCATTTTAAGGATACAATATGTATATATGCTTATAAGGTCAAGCCAATAAGTATAATTTATCAATGTTAAATAATTAGAAGTTCGGATATAGCAATGCATCTCTTCCTGGTCTTAACACAACTATTTTACGAAGCTATCGTTTAGCTATTATATTATTCTCAAATGAACAGTATTTGTGCCTTAAATTTCGAACACTGTGTATGTCATTTTCAAATTGAAAAATGTATTGCATCAATAACTGAAATAAATTGAGAAATGACGGTTTCAGAATTAAAAAGTAGCACATTTCAAAAATGGGTGAGAGTATTTAAATTTTTATTTATATTTCAACATTTCGAAGTTGGGAAATGAAATTGGAGTGTTTGAAAATCCACTTCATAAAATTAGTGAACTTTTCAATAACAGAGATCGTTAGCTCAAATCTATCAAAAATTGATGCAAACTAAAATAAACGTCTTCTATTTCAAATCAAAATTAGATTTCTACATTTTAATTCTGAAATTCTCATTTTAAAAATATTTCAATAGCGACCCATAAATCTAATACCATATTGCATGATTGCGTCTGCTGGTACAACTACACTAATGACTCTAATAACTTTTGAACGCACTAATATACCAACTGCATATGCATAAGGAAATGAATAATGATTTGAAAAGTCTACATAGTGGAATACAGAACCACCACTATCGCCAATAGAAGAAAACAGCTGCATTTTGAGGACTCCGTAAAGCATAATTCCTTGAGGATTTATAGACACACTATCGATTGCAGTCAATTCCCCGCAAGTTGTACCAGTTGTTTGACCAGATTTACATACATGAGATCCCTCAGTATTCATAAATAAAACATCTACTATAAATATCTCAGGATAAAGCACAGGTTCATAGTTCCTTATTCTTGGTACTAGTATGATTTCTGGATTCTCATATGAAATTAATCCAAAATCAGTTATGTTATAATGATAATACCCTGGCTCAACTCTCTCACATGATTTTTGTCAGGAGGAAATTTACAACTGGTTAGTATATTATTTACT